CTACTAGGGGCTCCTGGCATCGCTACTAGGAGCAAGGACGCTACTAGTATGGATGAAGTCGTTTTCTAAGAACCTTGGTCGCCCGGAGCCACTTTTTTGGGGAAGACTGTCTTCATGTTGGGACCTGGGTTGAACAACAATTGGGAAAATCTGGTGAATGGGTTGGAAGGTTTGAGGAGTGGACATCCTGAACACTCACACCGAAAAGAGAGAGAGAGGATCGCTTCTGTAAGTAGTTTGGGCGCAATCCAATTGACAATCAATTTGACGTCAGGGAGTGGTCGACTCCACTGGCCTTTTGGTTTCGATTGAGGACCTCCTACTTGATCCAAGCCACCGCATCCGCCACTGCGCCATAGGACGCAAAGTATGCTCTCAGCTTTTCGGTGGTCACGTCCTTGCGGAAACTTCAAGATGCCGAAGATTTGCGGCTTCTTTGACTCACCAACTGTCTATTCTGGCTCAGAAATCCGTCCAAAAAAGCTGCCAAGATCATGTGATCGTCAATCAGAATCAAGCTCCTGTGGAAGACCACCAACAAAGATCTTGTTCGAGGGCCGTTCCTGCACAAGTCTCAGTTGACCACACTGCACAGAGAATTGGTATTCCGATCCGTGACTTGCCATCAGATTCTCCCAAAGCAAACTGGTGCAAACCGTAAAGAATCGGCAAAGTACCATAAGTGAACCTAAAGACCCAACAAACAAATCCGAAACAGTGGTGCTCGCTGTTGACGTGTGAACGACTACCCTCCTGGGCCGACTCACCAGGAACGGCTCTCTTCACCTGAGGGCTCTTGCTGCGAATCTTTAGCCCACGAATAGCTTCGCTTTGTAGCCAGGGTTATGCAAGGGTTATGTACCCAGTGGACCCTTCCTTGTGCCCTGTGGATTGCCACTCAAAAACTCATCATCCCTGCCTTCAAACCAAACAAACTTGTAAAGTCCTTCAAAGACTAGCAAGAATTGCTTGGGCCACGCTGGCCACTTTGACGGAATGGCCATGCTCAGCAGCTAATGTGATGGTTGGAGGACAACATAGCAGGTGGTCAAAGGTCAAAGTCCGTGAGCCGCAGCCGCGGCCAAGGAGGGGGTTTAGGGTATCTCTTCGATTGGAGAAAGTCAGATGAAACATGATGAAATGTTGATTCCAATCTTTAGAATGCATCAATCCTGATCACTCCACCCCTGGGGCCCACTGCATCCACCAGGCGCCCGTCGATCTCCTGGGGCTCGGCCAGCGCTTGTGCCTGAGTCTTGCAAGGAACCTGATCTACCCCCACAGTTCTACACTGTGATTAGTTGAGTAAAGTGAATATATCATGTATCCTACGAACTTGCTGCGTGTTCAAAGGCCACTCGCTTGTTCCTCTATGGAGCACATAAATGTTGCCTCGTTGATTCTGCGTGCGAGCGCGCTGCACGTCTCTGTATAGTTCGTTTGGAAGCACTGAATAACTTCTGCTGACGGGGGACCCAAGAAAAATTCAAAGAAACCCTGCGCCCAAAAGGGGCCAGTGACTCAATAATGACAATGAGAATGACAGACTCATGTACGTGAAATGATGGCCAGGGTGGCCAGGACATGCTTCGCTCGCATTGATACTGCAGACGCAGTACGGAGGTCCTCTGGCCTACAGTAATCAACCACCACAAACTACGCAAACAAAAAACGGGCTTGGCCCTTCCTACACAACCACATTACCACATTCCATGAGTGGGAGAAATGGACCATGCAATACTTTCCGACCCACAAAGGACACTCCTATATCTCGTGTTGAAGTCGTTTATTGGTTCCCAAACCAAAACCATTGGAGTCTTTTTTCGTTCCAAAGCGGTTCCTCCCTCCACTCGTCCACTCTGGGGCCCAGGTGCCGCCGCCAGCTCTGAGACGAAGGTCACGAAACCGAAGCCTCCGGGCTCCGTGAAGCTCCGAATCACATGACCCATGGTGAAGCGAGTAAAGTGTATCCATAAGTCACTGGGTGATTTAGAATTTTGTGATATTCAATGACAGTTCTTTAATGCTACTCAGAAGACCTTGGGTTCTGGGTGGTTCATAATGAGGCGAGATATTTGAACCCCTCTGCTGGGTATCTTCATCCACAAACACCAATCATGTTCACCGAACGAATGGCTCAGGTGCATTCATTGGGAACAATGGCTGTGACCTCTTACTTGCTGGAAGATCCATCCACCGTGCTGACTCGGATCAAGATTCTGATGAAGTACAGAGGTCGCGAATTCCAGCGTCGAAGCGTCAGCCATATACTGATGTTCAGATCAGTCCTAAACTATCCTAAACTCCTAAACCGGACGATTGGTGTCTCTCATCCACCAATATCACAGTGTGAATTCGACTGCGCAAAAAAGGAAACCGAAACCCCCACAAGTTCGCAAGCTCGGCTTGAAACGCTCCATTCATATTCATCCCCAATCCAATAGCACCCTATCTTTCTGACCATTCTGGCAAGAATGGAACCCCATAGATGGATGGATGGATGGATGGCTGGCTGGCTGGATGGATAGATATAAGCTGGTCCAACTCGGCCATGACCGACCGTTCCGAAAAGCGCACCTCGCGCTCGGCCGTTCTTCGTCATGACGATCTGGGCCGTGACCCATCGCCGTGTCCGGTTCAGAAGCCCCGTGATTGATGGGATAGTGATAGGGGGACACGACAATGGCTCAACATGGGATCTGACAAAGGTTTCATAGCATCTTCATCTGGGATCCCAGTTTGATCGCTGCAACCCTGTGATGTATTATTGGGTGTACAAAGTCCTGCAGATTCATCTTCCAACTCAAGAACTAAGAACTGAAGGATGATTGTGATCTCATGAGACACCAACAGAAAGCTCTGCCATGGGAAAAATGGCCACCTGGTGTTTGAACTTCATCCCAATTTCCGTCCACTTCGGGGTGGTTTGACATAAGCCAAGAGATACGAGTGCCACAGGAACACCTACTTTGTTATGCAAAAAGAATCCCCAAATGCAGGATCCTCAGGCACATCGTTAGCTTGGACTCGATTAAGCCCATCATCCGCATGGTCTGCATGTGAAGGGCGCTCCGAAGGGGGTCAGATGTGAGGAACTCCCACAAAAAGAATGGAACAAATGCTTTTCCAAGCAATCACTGTCTCCATGACTAGTTCGAAAGTGCAACATGGGTTCTATGCAAACCGAGATCAACGCCAAGCAGTGTTCTTTTAAGAACGACCTTGGCGCTGGCTGGCCCACTGGCCCCAGAAGTCCAATGTATCTGGTATGACTCGGTATGACTTCACGTTAGTCCAATGTTATGCTTCATCCCAGGCCCACCGAAAGGCCTTGTCCGGTCTGACCACCCGCGGAGGGTGTAGGAAAGACTTGAGGCCCCATGCCGCATCCGTGAGATGTCCGTACTTGGAGAAGTGGTTGTAGAGAACCTTCACAGGTGGCAGCGGCACCACCAGCTCGCGGAGACATGCTTTGTTTGGAGACGTGCTCCCGACCATGCTTTTGAACCCCTGTTCAGCGGTGGGCTTCCAACAAAGTGAAAGGTACCTGTCCTACCTGTACTTCTTTGCCAAAACTGATACTGTGAGAAGACCCACGTTCCCATCCATTGACCGCCTCAGTACTCGTCTGTGATGAGATGCCGCCCACAAAAAGCTTGGATTGTGCCCCTAGGCCTCAAGCAAGCTGAGGCACCAAACAGGCGAAAATATATAGGTACTATATATTTACTATTGTCTATTGTGCACAATGTTGTAATCATGCTTGTGAATCATGCCATGAACGCATCTGCAGGGTGGAAAAGTCCATCTTGCTTCTTCTCACTTCCTTCTCCCTTCTAGCTTCCTTGCATCAGAAATTGCTACCTTATCTGACGCCAGCTCTCTCCCCACAACAGGCCAGCTGGACCCGCAGAGGCCTCAACCTGCCGGAGGGTTTGACAATTTACAGTAAGGTATTCATCCCAGTCAAAAAGGGACTGTTCTGTCTCAGCTCGGGGGTAAGGGAGCAAAACCCTGTTCAAGGCAAAGGCTCATACAACTGCGGTCCTTTGATGTCGATCTTGCTGACCTCTAAATCCATCTATATAGATGTTCGCTTGCTGACCAATGGAAGCTGCCAGCACTGTCTTACACTCTATGGAGCAGAAGAACAATATCCGAATAAGATTGACACGAGATGCATGATGTATGATGAACACACTAAGACACAGTCAGCTGATCCTAAACAGCTGTGAATCGTGAAGCACTGGCCCAACAACTGATCCCCTGCACAAAGCAGCATGCTTTGATCCATCTGCGCATGTTTCAGTGATCGGCGACGCAGGGCAACTCTTCAAAGTCCCAGGAGCTCAAAGGTTCTCGTCTCAAGGGATCATGTCTGTTCACCGGTATGGATTTAAGACAAGTTAATATATATAGGGCATTTCAAATCCAACAATTTCTTGTGACCAGTTCTAAAGCCCTCTAGGGCCTCTAGGGCTTTTCTTGAAGCAGTCTCTTTCAAAAATCTTGACCTCTTGGCAACAGGACCAGCCCGCAGCATTCCGGAGTCTAGGTAGACTCACTGGCCCAGCACAAACATCGGGAACAGCCATGTCACAGCGTTTTTTGCCCCATGTGGACACTAGGAGATGCTCTAAGCCAGGTGCACCAGCTTGTGTCTTTCATGGAGCCTTCAAGTGGGCCAGTGAACTTGGATGGAGCTTTTTCACGAAGCTAAGTGGCCTGCAGCCAATGTGGCTAATTGGCCAAACAGACGTCTGATGCTTCACCCGGATCAGCTGATCCTTCACTCAGCCGAGCCGACACGCTCCAGTATAGTACCCAACAAGACTCGCGAACTTTGTAGCTGTACACTGATTCCCTATTTTTGTGGCTGCACGCTGCCTGTATGGGGAAGTTGAAGCCTGCAATGCAATCACTTGTCTGACACGATGTCTGTGCTTCAACCCCCAGTCACCACTGACTTCGAGTGCACCCAAATGTGAGGTGCGATGCGCAAGTACACCACTGCAGTGGACAGCCGCAAACCTTTGACCAAATATCACAACCTTGAGGATCATTGAGGATCAACGAGGATGGGTGTCTTAGGGGTGCTCTTTGGCGATTCATCGCTGTACCAGATCACAAACCAGCATCACCTTTCGGTGCCAAGGCTCCGGCTCAAGGGGACCTGAATTTAAAGCTTGTAAAGGATTCTTAAAGAATGTATGTACAGATGGGGGTGAGATGAGATCCCCAAATCCATCATCTCGGTTTGAAAGCTGTTCCACTACACCATTGGCAGGGGCCACAGCTGTCACCTTCCCTGGTTGTCTGGTCCCAGCACCAAGACATTGAGTAAAAAGTGCGTTGAGTGTGACAGTTCATGGAGTGCTACGGGAGGAGAGATCTCCAAAGCTTTAAACAATGAAGCTTGACTTTCAGGCAGACCTGCAGAGGCATCATCAGACCATTATCATCACGTGTCCATTCCAAATCGCCTATGTTTCCTCAAAATCAACTCGTGTCCTGCTGATACTGCCAGGTCAATTGGGAGTTCGTGCAACTAGCCTATCATATCATCCTGTCCATCTTTGTGTTCACGATTGTGCAACTAAACTAAACTCAGGGTCCAACAGTGACGAGCTGTGACTAGCTCTTGCCACGCCAAGACGTGCATCAGGAATTGGAAAATCGATGATGAACGCATTCAACCAGCAGAGTCACACTCAGGAGACTGACATCCTTGGCTGGTTCAAGATCTTTGGATCGTCGGGTCAGTGGCTGCTTCATTCGTGGCCAGGAAACGCATATGTTCAACGAACTTTTTGTGGCTTCTTGGGTTGGTGGGTGGCCCCTTGTGGAGTGGCAAAAGACCCCAGAAAAGGAGCAGAATTCAGGTGCTTTACATGTGCATGAATCAATGGGCTGTTTTGGCGTCAGCTAGGCTGCCCGTGGTGGGTGTACATTCTAATCGGGAGACCCCCTGGCCCAGTTCCCTTCTTCCACTTGTGGTGGAGTGGTCAAGGTTACCAGGGAGCGTCGGTAGCGATAGCACACGTGGCTCGACAGAGACCGTGGGCCCTTTCCAGTGCATCCAAGCCTCATGGTCCTACCAGATGTCCAGGCTGAGTCCACTTCGGCAGCAACATGGAAAAAAGGCCAAATAGCCGCCTCTGGCCACAGCAAAACTGGAGGTCCCTTCCTTGCCAACGAGATGCATCTTTGATGGGAAGGAATGTAGGTTCGAGGTAGGTCAAGATGCTTCTGGATGTGTAGAGTGTAGAGATTCTTTGTCACTCTGGGAGGCAGCTCGGTATAAGATCCGGCCATGATGGACTCTCGTCATCCTGACTGACTCTGTGAACAACCCAACTTTCTGCGTCGTCCTATCTTGCAAGCACTTGGACATAGGTCAAGTGTGGCCGGGGAAAAATCCTGGCCCTTTGAATTGGCATGGACTCAAACGCAGGGCGCGCGCAAAGGGTCCAAAAGCTTCTGTGCAACAGCTTCAATCTTCTTCGATGTGCTCTGAGGATGGGGGTTTGTGCTTGTGCTATCATCATGGTCCTCAAAACATGCTTCTGTTGCGGCAATACATACCCTTTTTGCAAAAATTGGTGAAGACCGTGTTCTGCCCGAAGCTGATTGCAAAACCTGCTCCTACCTAGAGATACTTTCTCAGGCTGGCCTACAAACTATTGAATTGCTGATCACTAAAAAGGAAGTCCTACTTTTTGCGTGTGAAGGATCCACTAGCTTGTGACAGGAAGTGGTGATCTCTCATCTCTCTGCTTCTCTTTCGTGCTTTCTCTAGCACATTGAGCAAGGTGAATTAGAAGATTCTTGTCAGTCATTTTGTTTGAAACTCTATATTCCACATCCTGTGGAATTTCACCCCTTTGCTGGCCCGGAACAGCCAGTTGGATAAAGTTCTGTAGCAAAGACGCACTCCAGACTGTCTTTCTGACTAGAAAACAACTGAGTCGGATCTTTCTATATTCGTCTTCCAAGCTTTCCATAAATAAAGGCATTGGAGGGGTCTTTGCACTTTCTGCTGAAATACTTCGGTTTCAGCAGCACTTATGCACAGCTGTTGAAATTCGGGCGTCTGATCAGGACTACTTTACGATGGAACACGCACTGGGCGGAGCGAAATCTGATCCCGAGGATAGGCTACGCCGGCGACGCCTCACTGCGTACGTGCGAGCTGCACAGCCCTGGCAGCGCGTGCCAGAACTGACACCTGGCAGTGCTTCCAGTGGAAAGCGAACTGCAGTGAATGCCCAAACCAAAACTCCCAGTGTCCGAAACCAAGTAGTTGAGGGTCGTCCGGGTTGCCACAACCTTGGAACAACCCATGCCACCCTCTCCGAAGGCGCTCTGAAGGCGCTCCGAAGGCACCCGGGCTGCGCCGGCCAGCATGCAGGAGCGGACTTGCTGTCCAGGAACCTCAAGGGTAACACCAAGCTCGAAGGGCCGGTCGCCGGTGTAGCCGACGTAGCCGGCGTAGCATAGCCAGCTAACACCGATGAAGTCAACCAAGCGGTTTGTATCAAGGATTCTTGGACGTGAGATTGATCGTTGCTCTGGATCTGCTGTTTTAAAAGGTTGCACCACCAAACAAAAAGAACTGTTCTTCAGACACCAGCCACTTTCCCTCTATCTCTGCATCTGAGGCTTCCAGGCCACAGAAGGCGGCGCCCAGCCAAGCTTCAAAACCTGTCGATTGCAAAAACAGCAATGACTTCTAATTTCGTTTCAGAAATGTTCCCAATTAGATTATATAGATGATCGGTTTGGCCATTCGTCCAAAAAGGAAAGCTGGGTGACACAAACAAACAAGAATCTTGAGCCAAATTCCTCTCAGCTTTGGATGTTACATGGCTCAGCAGCTTAGCAGGGTGGGCCCTAAGCCTCAGCGGGATGGGAACTTAGCTTCTTGTTTCTAGTAGCGATGCCATTGTTGCTAGTAGTAATGCCATTGTTACTAGTAGTAATGCACTTGTTACTAGCAGCGATGCACCTGTTACTAGCAGCGATGCACTTGTTACTAGCAGCACTGCATTTGCTACTAGCAGCGATGCTCTTGTCACTTGTTACTAGTAGCGATGCCCGTGTTACTAGTAGCGATGCCCTTGTTCCTAGTAGTGATGCCCTTGTTACTGCAACACGTGAGGTCACATGAGGCCGCTTCCCCGAAGGTTTCGTATCAAAAAGAAAGCTCCCGAAAGTGTTAGCCTCTCCATCACTCCCTCTCACGCACGTGTGTCCGCACAAGGGGTGGTCAAGCTCCAAACAGATTGGGGGGGAGGTTGGCCTCGAGGGATTGATCCATAGCGTCAAGCGTCAAACACTCTCATGTTGAACCGGTTATGTTATGATTTACAATACAGCTCTCTTTTGCTACTGACCTCACTCTTGACACTTCCCTGCTTTGCCTTACTGTAGGTCTTATGACTACCTTCGCACCCCCCAGCCTGAACTGGTGCTGCATCTTCATTCTGAGGTGTACAAATCCAGTGTCCGCCTCAATGTGTGTGTGAAACATGGCAAGATTTCTCCTTGACCCAAGCTAAAAAGGTAGAAGAGCCTGTGGAACAAACAACCTTGCCATTGGCCCCTTCGCCGAGAAAGTAGCCTGCTTCAAAATCCCATCGAGTAGTTGGCCAAAACATTCTTCACTCGATGCAGCACTCAACTTTTGCTGGAGCTTTTTAGTCCTTAACTCATTGCCATAGCCAACAAAAATGTGCAAAGCAAGCGCTCAAAGGCCCTGGCGTGCTGTGCCATCGGGACCAGCAGAATTCACGAGCTCCTTCCAGGAACAATGATCCTGCGAGGTGTGCTGTGAGGTCAGGGCCAAAGCCATTTTGCCTGCGCTTTGGGGCGTTCAGTTCAAAACGTGTCCTCCGAATGTTGATTGAGACAAACAGTCTTCCGTAGCAGGTTTCTTTACCATGAACATGTTTTCAATATATAGACATTGTACACATTGTTACAAACAATGTTGAAAACAGTCTAGAGAATAGTTGATGTAAACATTGTAAAACGTACGTACTTGTATAATAACTATACAATTCAGGAATTGGCTGAGAATGTTTTGTTGGCTTTCGGAAGTGTTTCCAGCAGAGACAGTGTGGAATACTTTTAGCCGATTATACCAATTACGACCAAGCTTACAAAACCCAAGGCATGTGTCCTACGCAGGCCAAGCAGGCCAAGGCTCACAAAGAACGACAATTCACAGTGCCACAGCTGGGTCAAATCCCACTTGTGACTCCTCAGGCCTCATGTGTCGAACATACAACCTAATACCAATAGCCTCCACCCTACTAGCGATGGCCTCCAACCTACCCATCCCGTCACCCAGTCGCCTCTTGGATGAGCTTCAATGCACCTTCGGCAGGGAGGGATCGACGGATCGAGAGAAGGACGCTGTCGACCGGCTGTCTACGATGTGGTCTACGGCCCGGACAGTCCACGTCATGGATATGACGATGTAGCTTCGCCTTGCCGCGACTCTTGAGCCTCAGCACTTGACTTGCCTGGTGGCACTCATGCAGTCGCAAAGAGACTTCTATGCAGGGTTTTTCAGTTCTTCATGTCAGTCGCTGCAGAAGCCTCTGTTGCATTCAGGAACTACGTGTGGAGATTCCCTGCAACGTCTGATATTTCGCGGCTTCATGCAGCATGCATGCAGGTCTCATGCAATCACATTTTCGCGTGCGGATGATTTTTGTTGCCAATCTTGAGCACTAAGAGTGCCTCAAGCATCCTCAAGCAATGATTTGTTCAAGTTGCTGGTCCCGCAACCGTCCCGTCACAAACATCTGTCACCTGTTCAACTGAGGTCTTCGGCTCATCCATCCAAGACCAGCACGCTTGAATCCGTCCTGGCCTCAAGGTGCAAAAGCAACAACACACGGGCATCTGGCACTTTGCTCAGCAAAAAAGTCACGAGAATTTCATTGACCTTCCACGTTGGGATGATTTGGAGAGCACGTCACTGTGAGAAAGACATCGTGCAGACTCAAAATTGAAATGAGTAGCAAATGGTGCAAATGCATAATCAAGGCCTGCTGTCCGCAGACCGATTCCTGATTACTTTGTTCAGACTTCAGCAATCGACTAAAGGATGACTATGAGTAACCTCTACTATCCACCTAAAATGCTGATCTTCCAAGCGTTCACCATTGTTGATGTTGGTCCTGTGGGTGACTCCACGAGGCTTTGCGCATCATAAAACTATCACTTTAAAAAACGTCTAAACGTGCTCAAGGCCCTGGTCCCCACGATTTGTTGTTTTTTAGCCCGCTCCTCTCTCCTAGTACATCCTAATACTAAATATATTATAGCCGGGGACAGGTAGGCCATAGAGGAAGGAGGTAGTAGATAGGTAGCTAGTAGAAGAGGTAGCTAGTAGCTTAAGTAGCTACTAGTATGGACGCAGGATAGCTCACGCTTCTTCAAGGAAGCTCCCTCCGCCGCCCTAAAGGCGGCTTTTAGGGCGGCGGGGAAGCTTCCTTGAAGAAGCGCTCGCACTAATGATTTGTTTTCTAGATGTTTAAGGAAACTTAACATCAGGCCCCCACGAAATGCGTTCCACGTCTTCGATGGAACGGGCATGCGCCAGGGCCGTGTTCCTCAGCAAAACCCGGCGGACGAAGAACGATACTAGCTTCTTGTTACTACTAGTAAGACACTTGTTACTACTAGCGATGCACTTGTTACTACTAGCTTCTTATTGAACTGCCTAGGCACGGCTCCCACACCGGGACTGTCTGCAGCTGTCGTTTGTCGACAAGGGCGTTGAATGTGATATCAAGTGGGCGGTAAACAACATCTACGTATTTGGGTGAAAGGTTCTCACTTCGAAGTACATTAGGTTTTATATCTGTCATCCAATGAGGTCAGCACGAGTCCACATTGACGACCAGCACTTTCCAGTCAGCTTGGCCTGGGCCATGGTCGCTTCAAACGACCCCACCAAACAACACTGAGAAGTTGGACGGCTCCACATGTGAAGCCGTCTAACTTCTCAGGGTCGTTTGGATCAGTCCCATGTCCCATGACCCATGTTTGGTGCGCAATTCTTTTACAAAAATGTCAACCCTAAAAAGAGGGAGGCAAATCACCAAACCTTGCAAAAACAAAAAACAAAAAAAACTGTAAACCCAACCCGGGCCGCAACATGTGTAGTCGCTTGAATTATATAAACTTATTGACTGCAATGTGTGTGGCTGACCAAAAAGCTCCACTCCCGAGAAAGAAACCCAGAAATGACAAACAATGCAACGGCATTGCATCTCCAACTGATGCATTACAATGCACATAGCCCGGTACGGCAACAAATATGCCAGGATTCAGCCTTCTTTTGCTCACGAATGCTTGTCTGCTCTTGTTGTGCCATGCCAAGTTCCAGATCAGCCGGCCCTCCTAGCCTTCGTCAATGAGGCATACCGCACCCAGCACGCGGCACCGGACGATGGTGCCCACCTGGATGGGAAGGGAAAACACGGAAGCAGCCCACTAAACTACGTGACTTTGAAAGTGACGTAAACTTCAATGAGAGCAAAGAAATCTCCAAATTAGGGCGGAATTAAATTTCAGGACACTCCCCGGATTGAACCATCGCAATCTGCGGCACTTGCTGAAAACCCCAATACACCACTCCACAAAGACCACAATGGAAATGGGTTCGATTTCTGTCGTTCTTGGTACAAAATATGTTAACATCCTTGGAAAGAGTTGTCACAGCATCATTAGTGAATTTGTTCTACGTGTCCTTTGCTGGTGCCTCGGTCGGTGCGTCTGCCAAATCAATCCTTAGTCAAGGTGGTTGGGCAAATCTGGGAAGCCCAAAGCAAAGGACGGCCAAAGCAAAAGACCCTCCTCTACTGCGATGTATCGCAAGTCCCCAAATCGAAACATGTCAAGTCCATGAGTTGCGTCAGAGTCAAACCGTCACCAAAGCCTTCTTGTGCTCTTTTGCGACTTCAGAGAGGTGTTTTCGCCCGTTGGGTTCGCAACGTCTTCGTTCCCTGTTGTCGCTTGGTCGCCCCACACATCCAATGGATCATCGTCTCCCGGCGCGGAGTAAAGCTCATCGGCCTGTGGCACACACTGAGTTCGGACTGAAGCGGGTTGAAAGAAAGGACAGACAGTTCTTGCAATTTGGGTTCCCCCCGCAGAGAACAGAAATCTCCACTGAGAACCCCAAGCGGCACTTTTTCTGCTGCCACGCATCTCTTGCCGGAAGGGGCAGGGAGGGAGACGGTTGGGCAGGTGGACAAGACTTAAACCGTATCGTGCTGCCGGCAAAATATCAGCATTCTGAAGTTGATATAGGTTGATCACCGTCATATACAGTGTGACTGATACGATTATGGGTGGCTTCGTTCGACCGGAATAGCCACTACTGTCGCGGGCGTCCGACTCGCTTTGTACCAACAGAGATGGGTTCAGCACTATCTCGGTAGGTCAGAAATCTGTCTTAGTGGGCCGTCATTTGGCAACATATGCCCTGCCAACCGCATTTGCTTCTTGCAGATTCCTCCGTGAAAGGTTGACTCTACGACCTGGTGTGAAGCTCTGGCGTTTGTGGTCTTGCGACCTACGTAAGTCATCGGCATCTTTAATATTTGGCTAAGGCCTCTATATAGAATGAAAAAAGGTCCAGCTTTTAACGAAGAGACTGGGTCAAATGAACCGTTTCCAGACTGTAAAGAAGTTCATATACTCTTGAATACCGCATCATAGATTCATAGATGTGGAATTGCATGGAATTGCCACTTCTTGATGGTTGTCGACTCTTTCTAATATAGAGACAACTTCATCCAAATGCGTTTTTGTATCTGCAATTCCTTGCAAGACCTCTTTGCGAAGATCCACTCGATGGTTCAAGTTATTCCCCAAGTAGATGGCATCGTGGGCTCTGAAATGGCCGGTGATGTCCCTGAATTGAATATCCGCTTTTTGATTCATGTTGAGTGAGCGGCACTTCGCATGATTGATCTAAGCCATGGCTGTCCAAGCAGTCTTGCACGTGCTTTAGCAGCTCAAAGAGCTCATCGAGCACTGGTTGAAAAAGGAATTGTGTCCTCTGCATAGCAAACTGCATCGAAGTTGAGGCCAGGAATGCGGGAGTTAGTCACATGTCCGGAACATTTGTCTTGCATATCGTTCTCAACACAAGTCACAACCAGCAGAAAAAAAGGTAAGGGCTTAGAGGACAGCCTTGACAAATTCCAGAGCTTTGAGATTTGAAGGCCGAATTGCCGCATTGATCTTGGACAAAGAAAGTCGGGGAGTTATATAAAGCCTTAATGACAGAGATCAAATGACCAGACACTCCCAACCTAGCAAGTGAATCAAACAACTGGATGGTTGTACTGTGTCAAAGGCCTTTTCTCAGTCAATGAGGGCCATAAACAAATCAGCTCCCTTCTGCTCTGCCCTATCTTGGAGTCTACGTCTATTCTACATATAACACATGTGGCGTGAGACGTGGACCTCTTCGGTCTGAAGCCAAACTGAGTCGGCAACAGCGAAGATCTTCTATGTAGAAGTGAGTAGAGAGGTGGGTCGGTAGTCGCAGGGATCATCTAGTAGCGATGGCCTTCAACCTAATAGCGATGGCCTCCAACCTACTAGCGATGGCCTCCAACCTAATAGCGATGGCCTCCAACCTACTAGCGATGGCCTCCACCCTATTTGAACCGATCATCTATATATTATATCTCCATTTATATAGATTATATACATATATAGTCATATGTATATATATATATATGAACGACACGTGCCATCAAGGCTGCTGGAGGTACACAGGAGCTGCTCGATGTGTCTAGCCACTTGTAGAGCTCCGTAGTAGTTTATTTGGTCAGGGCCCGGTTGTTTCCCTAGTTTGGCTTCTTTGAGTACAGTGTTGTGCTCACCCATGGAGAAACCCGAAGAATCACACTCAATGTCACCCCCTATGCATTCTGGCAAGATATATTAGCGGACCCTGACCGAGAATGTTGAACCAGTGGTTTTCCATGATTTTCCCAGGCAGCACTGCAGGGGCGTTTTCATCCCGGACAAGTCACATCTGATGGCACCCATGGGTCACCAGAGATGGAAACTATGCTTCGCTTTTGGCTGGACATGGCCGACGCTCCCGCCCCACCGGCCAGACGTCCGGCCTTGTCCGGATCCCGGTACGTCTGCGGGAAGCAGCCGTAGTTGAAGGGCACCGGCTTGCCTATGGAGCACCAACACGGACATGACTGGAGTGAATTCAAGATAATTCAAGTGATAGGGCCGTGCCAAAAGTATGAAACTCCCTGCTCTGCTGGAGCTTTACTGCTGAGTATGGTACCGAAAGCAGCAAGCTTCTTGGAGCCCTTGACATCCTGCCGTTTTGTGCTGAACAGCAACATGGATTCTCCCGTCTATTTTGCTGAGTGCCCAAGGTGCGAATCGTGAGCCGAGCTTCCATCCTAGTAGCAATGCCCTTGTTGCTAGTAGCTTCTTGTTACTAGTAGTAATGGCCTCCAACCTACTAGCGATGGCCTCAAGCCTCCAACCTACTATTCTCAAAACTATTGTTGTTCCTTAGGTGTGTGCAAAATGTCTTGATGGGCATGCTACTGTGCAACCCTTTTGCTCTGCTTCGCAAAAGACCACAGCTGGCCACAACGTCTGGAGTCCTCCTCAATGGCGTTGTAGGGTGCTCCCGGCCTTGCCAAGAACAAGAAAGCAAAAGCGCGGGTCGGGGAGATCCAAAGTAATGTGACCAAAGTAGACCCTTTCTGAGCCTTCACAAACACAAACACAAACATTTTGATGGTCACGCCTGGCTGAACTGAGGAGCCTTTCGTACATCTGGCTTCTGAGGTCCTTGCTGCACCTCATACTTCCGCAGAGTGCCCATGGGCATTTCATTGACCTTGGGAGTGGCTGTGTAATCGCCAAGGCCATGAGTGCACGATGCGACTGTCGTAGCCATTAAGCCTAAGAAATAAGCTGCCCCAAACACGTTCCCTGTCATCGGAATCCTGTTGAAGGGCTCAGGTCACCCACAACTTTGCAGAAACAAGCCGATGCAACTGGGCAATAATTTAATGACAATACCTCTCAAAGTATCACTTGCGTACTACGTGAACTGTCTTGCGGCTGCGTGTGTATTGCTCGCCTTTAACACACAATTTGGTCCAAACGTAGGTGATACTCCTCAACGATGGATTGGGTATGTCCAGCACGCCGCACTACTCCATATTCGGAGGGCCAGTGGCATAGCGCAAAAGTGCCGTCGGCTCATCCAGCCACGACTTGACCTGAAGAACATGCGTGCATGGGTTAAAAAGATGAAGGAACACAAGGGTCAAGGTTAGAAACAAAGGAAAAGCAGAAAGGTCTACGGTCTAAAGAGCAAAAAGAAAAAGAGAAAGACACAAAACTTCACCAAACTTCACCAAAGAATGGCCGTCTCCCAAATCTCCGGCATTATCACGTCCAGATTTCTGAACTTCTTTCTTCCCATCCGCATCTGATGGGACCCAGACGTACAAATCCACGTCATGCCACATGGAGATTTCCTGGGAGCCACCGGACAAGGGCTCCTGGCGGTACAACACAGGCTACTATAAGTTCTGTCCTTGCAAACGCGCCTGCCTACATGCCCTGGTTGAATTCAACCAAGAGGTCTTTCTTGCACAGTGATCCCTTCTCCACGTCTATCAAAATGGCTCTACCACTATATAGTAACAAGTGCCACGCTACTAGTAACAAAAAGCTATTAGAATTATATTAAATTTAACTTAATAGCTTCTTGTTACTACTAGTAAGGCACTTGTTACTAGTAGCGATGCACTTGTTCCTACATCTCACAACTCTTCGCTTCGGCAAACATGTTCCAGCTTGCCTCGTTTACAGCAGGTGCTTCTGCAGCAGTCCACCTGAAGAGTCATAGACAGCTGCAATAAATCGGAACTTACAAGATACTTTCGGGATGATAAAGCTTCAACTTAGTTCCTGGGGAGCACTAACACTAAAGCCCACGGGTCCTTTTCTGCGTTTGAAGTTCTGAGCGACATTGTATCTGGCAGACCCAACTGGAAACATCATTTCAAGCATGTTCAAATTCTGGAATTTTCATGCCTTAGCCTCTTCAGGGCGGCTAAAGCGTGAGCAACAATGAATTCTTCTTCTATCCGCAGCCGACTTTCTTTTAAAAGCAAGGACTGTTTCTGTGACGCAGGTCACCATCTGGCCTTTGATGATAAACCCTTTTGTGAGGAGGACACCCACATAGAATCACACATTGCACTGCGAGTACACAAAACTCCGTGATTTGTGAGATGTCCGACCATTTTTTTGCTTCCCTCTCTTTGATCTATCCGACTATCCGAATCTATCCCTTCTACGTTTGAGTTGTGGGTTTTCACATCTCTCCCTGTTGTGCTTGACACCAACCACCGACGCACCGCCCTGAGCTGGATCTCAGGCGGTCCAGAGAGCTGCCGATCAAAAAAGCCACATTGAGGGACCTGAGCAGCGCTCAAACGCAGAGCAGCGCTGGGAACTGTACGATTCTGGCGGAGTATCGCTTGCAGAACCCCTCGCAAAGTCACCAGAACGCTCATGCTTCGATCACAACTCTCCGTGACCCATGCGACCGCCCTCCACTGACTTGGTGCCCAGCGTCCACTGACTTGGTGAATGTGGCTGCGCGCTTGGTCGCAGAGCCTTTCATCGCTTGGTCCAAAGGTCCAAGTAGGGTCAGCTGTTGTTGGCATGTTTCTGTGTGTCCATGGATCGTCTTGTTGGTGATAACAGCATATAATGATCTGCTGATCTGCAGGTAGACCACAAAATGGCCAAAAGTGCACGGCAAGCTGGTTCTGGTTGGATCCCCTGTTTCATGGCAGCCAAAGCATGCACTTCACCCTTCACTGCTTCCCTCTGCTTTGCCTGATCGTTTTCCCAGAGTCCAATTGTTGGAACGACCTGGCACTTCTGGCCACCGTCACAGTCCAACGCAGTCCATATGTTCCACCACCATCTTCGGCCGACAGACCACAATGCGAACCATGGATGTCTGTTTTCGTGGTCATGCCCTCAAGCTCATGATGTTCATTCTACGGGCGAAATGGCTCCTAAGAACCACCAACCATGCCGCATGTATATACTGTATATACGAATGATTGCTGTATAAGTGTCTTATATAGATTGTCTTTGAGTCTTTGACAATAAGTTTCTTTTATTTTGATTTCGCTTTGGAAGACCTCAGCCCACTGAGAGCGGCACGCACAAAAGGGAGCCGCTTGCACGCGACTCCGACCTCCACACGGTTCCGGTGTGGGCGAGTCTTCCTACCTGCAGACCTGCCGACATGCCCTCCGAGCATCTGACCGCCACCGCTGACAAAGCCGACATGGCCTCAGACAAAGCTGAGAAGTCCAAGATTCACAAAGTTCCTGATAAATCCAGAGAGTAACTAACCATCAGTCCGAAGGCCTCTCAAACAACCAGTAGAGAAAATACACTACCCCAAAAAATCAGGCCAATTGCCCCCCCCCTCAACACTATCGTTTGGAGCAAGGTTTAAGTTTAGGGTCTGGAACCTTTTCGAGCTCCAGTCCTTTCTGCTGCGTCCCAATCCTGCCAGAGAATTGAAGCTACGGCTTTCCGTCGTTGTTTGGCGCCGTCCCACGACCGAGACCGCCACTCGCCCGGCCACAGTGGCTCGACCGTTCGACCGTTCGACCCTCCCCTTTCACCAGTTGAAGCCAAGTGACTGCGATCGGCTCGACGGAGGGGACTGAGAAGGTGGAGGAAAAGCTCGTGGAGGACTGACGGTAGGCGAAGGCGAGACCAAAATGACAGCAGTGCAATGGCAAAGGTAGTGTTGAAGGTAAAGAATTGTTTGAAGAAAAGCTACTCTTGAAGTATGGTTTTAATACCAACACTCACCTATTGCAGTGGACAGCTACGCCAAAGCACCTCTCTTTTGGCAGCCTCTCCTGCCATCTGGGTGCCCTAAGGGGGGTCGTTTCATTGCAAGCAAAAGGAAAGAATGGAGCCCGAACTGCAACAGGATCCTCGTTCTGCTTGGACTGTCCCCTTCACCTCCATTTCAACCCCCCGAAGGAAGGCTTTCAGTTTGCAACCGTGACGCGTTTATCCCCAACTCACACTCTTACCCAAGACTGACCCATCCGGATCACCTGATCCATGGCCACAGGAAGCTTGCTAGGGGCAGAGACCTGCCATCGAACAAGAACGCTACTAGGGGCTCCTGGCATCGCTACTAGGAGCAAGGACGCTACTAGGGGCTCCTGGCCGTACTACTAGGAGCATGAACGCTACTAGTACAAAAAAAGAGATCCTCCAGCATTGGAAACAGCAAAGACAACTCGATGGCTCAAACGCTTCAGTTGTCGACCCTTGCGAATCGCAAGCGATGTCGGGCGGGCAAAACAGAATGACATGAACCGTCTCGATGCCCATAGCATGGCCACAACAGCAAGGCCCTCAGACAGCGTCAGTCTTGTGCGAACAGAAGACGCAGGTTTTGGGCCGACATGCGGTCTCGTGCTGTTTGGGCCTTACAGGGCTTCTTAGAGAGCTTTTGAGGTCCCCAAAAGGATGTCCCTCCACATTTCTCTCAACACTCTTTTGAAGCAACCTACTACTACTACTACTACTACTACTATTATTAGCAATGGCCTCCAACCTAGTAGCGATGTCCTTTTGAAGCAACCTTCTCCGCAGCGACAACGGTCTCAAGCCCCCCGCGGTCGCCACACTGCTACTGCGGCGAATCCTCCAGCCCTTTGATCGGTCGATCCATGTGAATCCTCGAAAGGCTTCAAAGAAAGAGCTTGCTGGCCCAGGAAACGGTAAAAATATACCAAACTAAGCAATGTTGAACTATATATATATAACAGTTCAACTGCTGGCGCTCTTTTTCCATCCAGCTCATGTTCACAAGCTGTTGCCAAGTAGGGCCATCAAGGCCATCAACAGCCATGCCCCTCGTTCGCCAGGTGAGGGAGGGTTGCAAGGGCGGGTAGAGCTTGAGAGGCGCCATTGAGTCACGGTTGTAGTGTCAACAGTTCAACTGCTGGCGCTCTTTTTCCATCCAGCTCATGTTCACAAGCTGTTGCCAAGTAGGGCCATCAAGGCCATCAACAGCCATGCCCATCACTCCCGTACTCTCAAAGCTCTTCCTGGCGAAAGAGAACAGGCCACACGTGGTGTGGAAGCTGCAATTGTTCAAACCGTAAAGCAGTTGCCAAAACACGTGGAAAAAGGCCTGCAATTGCCAAAACCTTTTCTTTGGTGTCAGCTGGGACTCTTTTCAAGAACAAGAGAGCCGCTGTCTCTTGAACATATATCTCCATCACACGTGAACTCAGCCAACGGCCTTTGCGGCGTGTGTATTCACTATTTTCTGTCATCATCAAGTGCCACGTCGCTCCGCCTGCGCGGAGTGAACCCAAGTCTAAGGCTTTGAGGTCTCCGCGCCGCTCTGTAGGCAAAGAAAGAGCCGACAGCACATCCTTAAACCTCTGTCGAAGTGTTTGCCCTGACCATGCCCAAAGTCGTGCATGAGCAGGAAACTTACCAAAGGCAAGGTTGACAACCTGTATCAAATCAGGCACCTCAAGTTTTGCTGCTTGGTGTCGAGCACCTGAATGTTTTGTCTTAGGCTCCATTATGGCCAAAATACAAAAATGTATCGTCTCTTCAACATCTTGGGGTAGCAACAGATTTGCCCTGGTTGCTGACAACAACTCGCCGGCACGAAGGAGAGAGCCGAAGCCAAGACTTAAAATTCCTGCTAGGGATACCCATCCCCAGAGTAAGCAAGTAGTTACCATAGCCAACAAAACCTGCCAAGGCATAGCCACATGATGGCAGGAAGGTTCCGCAGCTACCCATGAATAAGCAAGGTCCCATGACCCTTGCATTTGCCTACGCAGCGCAGGTTTCCTAGTAGTCAGGGAATTTATAGTCTCGGCGTACTGGTTGTATGGGCGACCAGCACGATACAAAGCTCTTCCAAAACGTGTCAAGACGATGTTAATCTCATCCACGTAAAATACATGTTGCTCCAAAAGACGTTCAAAATCAATGCCCTCATTGCTCAACCATTGCAAAAACACGGACCAGTACTTGTCCCTTAGCTTGTTGGTGGCCTCCAAAGTGGGCCTGCCTTCAGGAAGCTCCGGCCTCAACGACCGAAGGCGTGCTCTATTGATCTCTGCAGCAGTTTGAGGTTCCATGGCACCGGCCCCGGGTAAACTAAGGGCACTACCAACTACAGCACAGAGCAGCCCGGGAGGGGAGCAGGTCAGGAAGGAGGCACACCGGAGGGAAAGAGGAAAGCAAAGAGCAAGAGAGAGAGCAAATGAGACAAAGGCCCAATCCAAGCCTGAAAACCAAAACGAGATGAGAAGAAGACCAAAGACTACCCCAATGCAAGGGCCTTCACCTGGGAATCCAAGGGTGGAATCGAAGTGTGGCGACTTGAAGACAAAATCCGGACACGGCAAAGCAGCCCCGTGCGGTTGGAATAGTACTGGATCGCCTGTTCGAGAGAAGCGAAGACGAGAACGATCAGACCACTGATGGATATCAGGTCCACAAAGGAGTAGGATCAACCTGATCCAGTTAGATGCCCAACGACGAGCACGTGGAAGTTGTGCAATAGCCCAAAGCTTCTCAGGAGACAATCCTCTCCATTGTAAACCCGGAACAGGGTCTCTCAAATCCCTGTGTCGAGTAGGATCATCCGCAGCATTGAGTCGTGTAGGGCAAAAGGGGTTGACCATATAGAGCCCGAAAGCAACCAACATGGCAGAGATTCGTCTGAGCACGCTAGAAATTGCCAAGGAAGCAGAGCGGCCTTTTCCCAAAGCTCCTCTGGATACATTGGAGTCGACCATGCAGGCAAACCGAAGTGAACCCTGCTTTGCCTTCTTCTCTACAAGCCTCTCAACCGACTTGAGCTCCAGGAGATTGATATGTTGTGGAGACTTGAATCGCCAACTGCTAACAAGCTCCCATTGGCTCCCCTGCATGATCTCATTCACAAGCTGATTCTCCAAGCCAATGCAAACAAGGTCAGAAGCCAGAGAGTCGGTAGAGGGAAGCTGTGTAAGGGCATGCATGAAGACCCAACCAAATCCTGCTGAAAGCTCATCCGTGTAAATGGCTGACGACTTGGTGTAGACTCCTTCAACTGGCACATGAGTGCAAGTTCCAGGACAGCGTCGGGCAAGAGGTCGTAGATCAATGTTCACTCCCAATAGAGCAAAAGACTTCTGGTGAATTGACCCAAACTGACAAGAATCTGCACGTATCTCACTGACTCCAGGCATCCTCATCAACGCCTGATAAGGAGGGAGGTGCTTTGTCTTGGCTGAAAAAGGTCGTTCAAGGAGGCCAATTACTCTATGCACCTGAGCCTTCTTCATCAACTGTAGCGACCTCAGCGTGAGAATGTTTCCATCTCTGGTCTGTCGATCCTGGACATTGAAGCCGTAGGGCTTGGACACAGATCGTAGAGGAGGTCGCCGCATGATAGAAAAAGAGGTGCAGGGAGGCTCCAGCATGAATGCGCGCAGCGAGCCTCTCTCTACCAGATGGAAGAGCCATGCTAAGACGTGAACTGCAGCCAGATTGTATTCCTCCGACTTGCTAATATCCAATGGCGGGCCACACTTCACCCCCAATGCACTGAGCGCTTTTGTCACCTTGGAAGACCCAGCGAATACTTCTATAAATTCAAAAGAAAACGCAAGTGGCCTTGTTGGAGAACATAGCACTTCTTCTTCAGGCAAGTCCTCGGCAACGCCAACCTTCTGCATCAAGCGAGACCAACCACTCTGTAGGCGAGTATAGGCTCCTTTCGTCTTGAAGCACTTTGCCAGCAGTAGTGTAGTCTCCCTTGAGACAGGTGTAGAAATGATCGCCCCCCTCTCTTCAGAAGCGTCGGTCGCATACAATACTTCTGACAAGGGCGTTGCTATGTCGGTCACAATCATGGGAGCCAAAGTCGCAACCAGCAACAACTCTGTAGCGACTGCTCTAGGCAGGGGGATCATAGCAAAATCTGGCAGGTCCTCATAGGCTGCAACCAGTCTAAAGCTCTCATTCAGAAGACACATGATGGGGCGCCGAAAAAGAAGGATAGAGACCCATGCACCAAGGAGGCACCGATGAAGAGAAACAGTAGTATAGGGCATGGAACAAAGCTCCAAAGTCAATGCTGACAAAGCTAACCTCTTCTCAGGCGGGGCTCCAATTGTACACACTCCTGCAGCAGTGGCTCTATCACTACTGTTCACATAGGCACCAATTGCTTTCCCTTCTTGCGCCCCTTTCACATCCTTCTCAGGAGAGCCCTGAAGGCGGGCATGACCATAGGCATCGCAAGCTTTGTCATAGGCTTTTGCTGACAACGTCTGATCATCCGTTGTACCTTTTGGGTCGACAGAAATTGCGAAGTAGTCATCAATAACCAGCCCTTCGACCAAGCGATTGCTAAAACAAGGTGAAGATGCCCTCATCCGGGTGTCCGCGTCCAGCAAACCAAAGGATCGGAGTAAGTTGGCATGAGCATCAGTAGCAATCTCCACACCTGCATGGTCTCCTTGCAAAACGCTCTTGAAGGCAACCCAAAGCACAGGATGCTTGCGATCAATAGCTGGCTTTTCCACTCCAAGTCTGTCGCCATGAGTCCTCCTGTCATACTTCTTCACTGCATCACGAAGGAGGAGATGGCCATAAGCATCAGTGTCCTTCAACCAATCCGTCGGCAAACCAGGCCCCAAAGTGTTGGAGACTGCACGAGCCTGCGTCACCCAGATCTGATGATAAAAATCTCTTCGATCAGACACCGAAAGAGCCAATCTCTGCGTCTTCAAGTCTATGGCTAAGTCACAGATGTCTGGCCCTGCCGGTAGGTCTGAAGAAGGACCATCAACTTTGCATTCCACACTGTTACGACCTCTCCTGTCTCCGATTTGTCTGTCGATCTCGGCTGACTTGTAGCAGTTGAATACCTTGACCAGTTCGAAAGATGGTCTCTCACTCACCTTCTCATGATGGAGGAAAAGAAGTCCATGGATGTCCCACAACTTTGCTAGATGGCAAACGGTCTCAGGAGGATCCCGGATCTGAGGATACTCCCAAACCTCTGGGACTCGGTCAATCCAGATAGAAGCCGGCTCTCGATAAGCCATAACCAGCTGGTCTGACAAATAAGAAGTGACGTCCCATTGACCAGCACCAGAAATCTTAAGCCTGGAGGGATCTAGGTCCCGATAAGGCTCCAGCTCTGGAAGCACTGAGTTGTCGGCTGAGACCTCATAGCCCACATAAGCCTTGTCGTAGGGCGAAGTTGAACATCCCAACTTCACAAGAAGAGACGTCAACTCAGAAAGTCTTGCAACTAATTCTGGATGTCGTCGGCCCGCGCGAAGCATGTCAAACTTCAATAACAGGCCGTCCGCCTTGATGAAGGAGCGCAATCTGCTGTATAGTCGGCGATGAGCAGGGTTTGGCTCCCTCCGAAGAAGCTCTTTCTCACAAAAGACACCTCCACTATACCAAAAGTTCAAAGCCATACAACAAACATGGAGGGCCCTTGATAGGTGCCTCGATCTTCGTCGGGCGCTAGAAAGGCCATCGGGCATCCTGCTAAAGACCCCCAGGGCAGGGATCGGCACAGGGAACAAAGGCGGTGTCCTTGCAGGCCGAGGAGCGGACTGCATAGAAACTTGGATGGAAAAAGCCAAAAATGCCGAAAAAGGACTCCTTGCACGAAGCACCAGTTTAGTAAGCTTTGAAAGCCACGATGGATAGCTCACTTGTCTGGATATGCTCACACCAAACTGGCTCGACCCGGCCTCAGACCTCTCCTCAGGAGAGAAAGAATCCCTCCAGGGATTGGTCCCAGGCAATGGGGAGCTGGAAGGCCTTGTAGGCTCACCACCGACCTTCAAAGAAGGCAAGCAGGAGCCAGGCAGGTCCCTTCCGGAACAGACTTGCACAGGGTGCCTGTCCACATCGGAACAGGGGCTGCATTCTGTATGCTCTGGTATTTTTAGGCCTGGCCATCCGCGATGGCTTTTGGCCTTTTTGGAAACTTTGGCTTCCGGCGGGGGCTCGGAGATCCCTCCTCCTCCTTCTGCTGTTGGCCCTTCTTCACCCTTGTCTCCTGCCTCCTGTTCTGAAGCAAGTCGATCTCCTTCAAATAGGCCAATGAAATGCTTGCTAGTTGAGATGGGATCAATGGTGAGAAAGGACTGGCTGAAGATGTCATTGATGTCATCCGATCTTGGAACAGGGCCGTTGGCGGATCTCCTGTCAAAGTCAGGACGAATGCTAAGTCCCAGTTTCCCGCATCGAAGGCAGACTGCTCTAGTCCCATAACTGCCAATGCTAAAAACTCTCGGGTTGCATGAAAATCGCCCCGAGATGCCGCATCGACTGCGTGCCCGATCACCCACATCATGAGGCCCGCCTCTTTCTGCCCTTTGAAGCCACCATACCTTTCGAGGTAAGTCAGCAGAGATGGAGCTCGGGCATTGAGCTCCTCTTCTGTCTTGGGAACCGTGTTGGATGGTTGCAATCTCCTGCACAACTGTTGCTGGAGCATCATGAAGAAGTGGGACTGGCCTACGGCCAGAGCATGCTGCATTTGCTCTCGCTTTTGCGTGCCTTTTGTAGAACTCGAAGGAACCCCGGAGCTGCTGGACGGGTCTAGCCCAAAAGGGTCGTTGCCCTGAATGAGATGAGACACCAATGCTGTTAAGGCAGCCGACTGCTGTGCCAGGGCTTGCTCTGTAGGGTCTGGTGGGGCTCTCAAGGGGTCCCGGGGCTCGTCTGCCAACACTGGGGATGCCATGGAAAGGGGAGACATCCTGGTCTTTGGAGGGGGGCCCAACAGCTGGAGGGCTTTGGCCGGGGTGGTTCTGGCTGGAGTGGCAAGACCCTGTGAAAGAGGGGGCATTTTGTGCTGAGCAACGGCTGGTCCCAAATCTCCTCGCCCTGTAGCAGGATCGACAAAGGCCTGCGGTCTGGTGGGGAGAGGAGGGACCGGCTGCTTGTTTTGTTGTTCTTCCCTCTCTGAAGCCAAAAGAGCTACCTGAGCTGAGAGTGCATTGAGCTGCTCAGCCAGGATTGCTGTGGTCACTCTTTTGACACCAGCCTTCTTCGGAGCGGCGGGTTTGGATGTTGGCGGCTCTTCTCGAGCACTGTAAAAATGGATTCTGCCATCTGCAGAGTGCGCCCAGGACAAAGCCAACGCAAGCAGCTCAGGAGCAGAAGGCATCGCAGATGGTGTGCCATCCACAAAAGAAACAATCTCTGTCGTGGAGTCCGTCACGGGATCATACTCTCTCAAAAGCCCAAGGGCACTATTCGTGAAATCTGCCACGAGGATGGAACCTTTGAAACCAGAAGCAAAAGCATTCCCAAGTTCATCCTCCTCTACCATGTCAACCTCGAATTCATTTGAGGGCCCCACCAAATCTTCCTCTGTGAATCCACCAGGAGGATGAAGAACGTCCTCTCTGAGCAAACCACAGGGAAGTGCCAGGAGAAGGCCACCCCTACGTGCATCAAGTGGTGTGCAAAATGCTTGGATCTCATCCCCTGTCGAACTGTGCGATGAAGGAACTGACAAAATGAGCAGGGATGGATCTGAAGCGTCTGAAGCGAAAACTATTTGCTGCCGGTCCATCGCCACAAGGGCGGAACTGGGACCTTGGCGCCCGCACAGAAAATGTGGAGCTCAGTCAATGAAGGCACCTTCTCAATGAACTTCACCTCAGGAAACTCTCGCTCAAAAAGATCTGAGTCTCGCTGGCTGGTAGTCCTCACTAGATCAAATCCTGGGCCCTTCTGCAAGATCCAAAAAGCCGCTGGGAGATCTGGACGATAGGTGCTCCTGTATGGGGCTCTTGAAACCCAAAAAGCACGGGCCCAATGGCCAGCGCCGAAAGCTGCCCTTGCTCTCTCTTCAGGATCTGCACGCGCCGAGGTCAAATGACGTTTGGCAGAGTCAACACAGAATTGTGGAACCTCAGGAGGCCCTTCCTCAAAACTAAAGAGAGCGTCTCTCACCAAAAAGCCGGCAGGTGCCCCTGGAATGGCCTTGCCGTTCTCAACCAACTCCCAATGGGAACCACCTGAAATGGTAGAGGATGCCCTAGCTGGCTCAGCGATATCTTCTCGCACTTCCACCCCTGAGAGCTCTCGGCTCCTAATGGTCAATGTCAACTCACGAACAGCCGCGGCCAGGTCACGAAGGTCACGGCGTAGTGATTCTTGCTCACTCATGCAAATAGCCTTGCAATCTATTCGGGGTCCTCCTCCTGACCCTGTCGTCCACCACCGGAGGTTGGGAATGCAGGGCCTGAGAGTGGAATCGAAGAAGAATCCAAGAGGCCCAAAGACCAAGAGCAATGCCAAGAACCAGACCTATGGAGAGGCCTGCAATGAGTGGCAAGAAGATCGAAGAGTGACAGTGGGCAGGACAGGCCAAGGTGGAGGAAAGGGAGGAGAAAGTAGCAAGAGCTTCAAGCACGGCAGCCCCCCACATATACCTAGAGCTTGAGAGGCGCCATTGAGTCACGGTTGTAGTGTCATATGTGTGCAGTGTGTATATACATATATATGTACAGTATATAATATACATATAATAGCGATATGATATGTCACTGTCAATGTGTCCATCGTTGGTCTTTGGGACATGTGCCCTGTGTTTCTAAAAACTCTGTCAGCCTGTGGATAGAAAGGACGCTGCGCGCAGGCTGATGAGAAGCTGTGAATCGGGTTGCAGCTTTTGCGGCTTGGCACATTTTGAGTCTCACCATTCTTCCACCATCCATCTGCAGCAGTGCAAACCCACGGTGTCTCCTTCCCCGCACGGCTTTTTCTCCGGCTTCGCGAGGTCCTCCTTTTCATGGCGTCCTCAGAGTCATAATCAGCGGTTTGAGTATCCAAGTCATGTCGGAGTGGGGATCACATGCTTTTCCTCAACCTTGAAAGGTTTGTCTGCGGAGTGTCACCACCGGAGATGTGGTCACCAGGTGGTCCATCGAATCGCTCATAAGGTGTTCCAAGGACCAACATCTCTAGACGCTCTTGCCCAATTTGCTGCTTTGCAGGACGAGTTGCGCTGCTCTTCCTGCTCCTGCACAACTAGTGGACAAATGGAGATCCATCTCAGACACTGCTCAACATGACTCTTGTGGCACTTGGCAGCATCCAAATGGCATGTCATGTGAGGAATAAGCATACGAGCAGTCAGTTGACCTAGGGTTTATTGGATCGTTTGATCGAAGTTCCTCTATGTCATGGCACCACCCTGAGGTCCAGAGATGACTCCTTACCACCTGTGGTGGTTATTCACCACAGTCAAACGACAATTTTTCCACTGCTAAATAAGGCACGTATTGACTACAAAGTGGATGTTTTATGTCCGGTGTGTTTTGCAAGTGTGGTATGATCTGACTTCTGAAGCATGCAAAAACCATGTTGAGCCGCCCAGCCGACAAGTAAGGTGTGAAACATCGGCAAACGACCTAAAATACTTCATAACATTATATAACTATTGTTGTTATATATTGGTACGAGTATTTATATTGTTGTTATTAGTACATGTTACAGTACATATAGTACATATAAAAAAAATATGAGCATTAACAAGCATACAAAAAGGGACCCAAAAAACAGGTAAGCACACACACACACACCGCTCACCCGGCTTCACCCCGCGTCACTCTGGCCTTGGAATAGGGAGCCGACCTGCCTTCAATCACCGTCCAGGCCATCAGGGCCGCAGGGTAGAGGACTCAGCCCAATCGAGTTGGTCGGAGAGCACTGGGGAGAGGGGCAAGGCGAAATTCTGAGAGTGAGGACAGTGAGGTGTGCCACCAAGAAGAAGGGAAGAAGGGTAAAAGCAATTCTGAGAGTGAGAGTGGTAAAAGTGGCACAGGCTTCTTTGTCAGCCATTAGTAGAGCAAGCGGCTGAACTCGCACTTTCCTGTGTTTGAGCTGAGGAGGAAACCAAGGAGCATGCCAGCAATTGGAAACGCATACTCCTCGGCAGTGGAACAGCGGTGTACACCCATTTCTGGTCACTCCAAAGGTGATTGAAATGCAACAAAGCGGCTACAATGAACATAATAATTACATAAGCAAACAAGGACTCGTATCTGTATATATATGAGGAAAAACTAATTCAATGGTTACCACACCAAAGGGTCACCCTCCTGAACTGGGATGTTGACGCCTACCCAAGTTCGAGAGTGTTCTCCGTTGCTCCTCAACCCTTGTGCGTTGGTCGAAATAGAAGTGCTCACAGTCCTTTGAACCAACCATCGTGTTTTCTAAAGGACCGTCACTCAAACAAGCTCCACCTGCTGTATCGTGTCAAGAATCGAAAGTCCTGTCAGTTGATTCAAGTGGTTGCAAGGAGGAACCTTCGCATCGTGGCTCCTTTCCCGAAACAACGATCGGTTCAGAAAACCACCAATTAACGGACCAATGTGCTCCCAGTCGATCCCACCTTGACGCTGGCAATGTCCGGAAGGACCTCCATGCTTCAGCCGGCCTCAATCAAGTGCACGGGTTGCTGAGGGTCCTCAAAAATTAAGCATATTTAAACATTCGGACATTGGTTTTTCTGATGCACGAAATGCAGCTGCCCTAAAAGAGTGCATCATAGTTTGCCTTTAGCAAGCATTCCATTCAAAATGTACCTTCCTGTCACGTCTACATGTTGAATCTGCCCGACGTTCAGCGTTTGGGTTGCCAAACAGATCAGATGAGACCCCAAAGAGGACATGTTCATCTGTGAAATTCAATCAACACATTTCAACATGTCTGCAGCATCTACATTTGATTTGATCTGAAAAGCGCCCTTTCGAGTCCAAAGGAAGAAAATACCTCGTCCAAAAGAATCTACCAGCAAGATTCTTGGCACCCGACAAGCAATTAACTTCTTGCCCCCCGGGGCTCTATCAAGCCATCTGGACTGGAAAATGTCCGCGAAAGGCCAGCAAAAATCTTGGGTTTAAAGAACACACTTCATCAAGAACAAACACAAATGTTTTTCGCGCATGTTACAAAACTTCTAGCCAGCGGCCCCTCGGCAACTGGGAGATGAACGGACCTCATATGTTCTTCCCATGATTGTCCAAAAGACCTGGATGCTTCTAAGAAAAAATAACACAAAATGATCTCGTGGGTTGGACAGAATCAAAGTGTTGGAAAATCTAAATCCTTCAGTCCCAACTCTTCAACAGCGTCTATTTGCTCGACGTTTCTTTTTGCCACAAACGTCCAGTAGAAAGCTCCCAGTGACCTTGGCTGAACAGTGCTGCATGCACGTACCACACCAAGCAGGCCGGTGCACAACCAAAATCTGGAAATAGAGCAGCCCAGTATGCAAAGGTTTGAAATGACCTTTGAAAATAGAAAAGCCCAAGGTCTTCTCTATTTGCGCTTTGAAGGTGATCGTGGTGTCTTTATCATCGGGACAATTAATTATATATAATATACACAAAGTGCACCTGTTTTAGACTCCCAAACACCTCAGAGATCCTAAAAGCCTCAAAAGCATTCGACGTCTTTTTTCAGAACTGGCCAAGGGAGTTTCCACGCGCAGGCCCCTCGGGCGTTCAGCAGTGACATCGGGCCTGATTCCTCCAGTTTAGGTTTGCTGATTTGCCGTTGCAAAGAGAATCCAACAACATAACTGATTTGGTGTCAAGGATACCTACAAAAGCCCTTACCCTCTAGCTGTCACGTGTCGATCTGCCGTGAGTCGTGAGAGTTCGTTTTTTGAGTTTCCAAGACTTCCAGGTTTTGCTCAAGCTGGTCGAGTACCAGTTAAACACCTTGAACACCTCCACCTGCGCCAAAGCGGAACCTCCTTGAAGCTCCAACGATTCAAACGCGCCAACGCTCCACTGTGTCTTGGAGCAAGCCAAGCTCTTTGGCTGGATCAGCGGCATCTGTCAGGGGTGCCAAACGCACACACCCAAATGGAGCTGAGCTACAGTATTTTAAAGTCGTGCCAGAGGCCCAACTGGCCCCTGCTCGTGTAGCTTCCAAGCTGCTGGTACATCCACCTTCCTCAGTTCCACACAGCATGGGAGAGAAACATGGTGCACGGGAGTTGAAACTGGGTCCGCGAAGCCAAAAGTTGCGCTACCCGTTAGCCATGTTCCACTGCTCTCACAATCCAAATCTTGGTGCCTTTCGTTCACAGGGTAGTCTTGCTTGGACAACAAACATCTCGTCTCGTGGCGATCCTTTTCCGCCTGGGATCATGAGGAGCAAGATTTGACCAAAGGTCTTTGCGAGGGGATCGCTGTGTAGTGAGCACATACCACCGCCCCCCAGCGCAGCCTGCAGTGAAGCGCAAGCAAATCACAGTGCAGTTTGTGTCAGTCTCTCAAATTCACCTCTAAAGGAACATTCTCCACGCATCAATAGAGATCGCAAACATGATGTCCTCTTTGGTCGGTCTCTGTGTCAGGTTCCTCATGTTCCATCAATCCTCAGCACCCCGGCCTCCATGACGAAATTCATTGCACCGATCCCTGGCTGCCGGAGACGACGCAGTGGGGGACGGGACTGCAGAGCTCAACAAACGGTCACCAAAGGTGAAGGAAATTAACTTGTTTTGTGAGACAAATGAGGCGATGTGAATATGATGTTCTCCAAACCATCTCTGTAACCAACTCTTCCTCAACCTGAGGTCATAAGACTCATCTCTTTCTGTGCGCAGAACGCCTGGAGGTCAGTCCCACACCTATGCCGTGCCTATACCTCTCTTGCAGTGAATCACAATCTCTGACGTCTGAAAATCCACCCGACCATGTCTTTTTGACAAACTCAAAGCGCATGCACCTGGAAGGTCAAACCGTTGGCAGTCTCCTTCCACTCGTCTGGAGAAGTAAGCCTTCACCCGCTCTGTAGTGACCTGCAGTTCAGGTACTCAGGCTGTGACGGTTGTGACCTTCCTAAACAACTAAAGACCAGTATATAGTCCACAGCAAAACAAGCTCGTACCAACAAAACAAACGTGTTCTAGCTGCTACCGCAGAGTCAACTGTCAACGTAAGTATTGTGGTGGCAGTGTCACGGTTCTAAAAGCATTCGCAAACCCGCCGCCTGGTGTCTCAATATGGGCAAGTACTCTGGCTTCCTGAAGCAAATGCAGGCGCTTGATAGGGGCATATTTGACCGCTCATCCAATCGAAAACCAGCTGGCACAATGCAGTCCTTGCAATAAGCCCCACATTGGCCATGTTCCTTAGATTGGTCGCTTCACTTCTGGCCATCCCTTCATTCCCAAGCGAAGCCTCCAGAGTCCCACAGACTGCAAGGTCTGTGGGGTTTGCAGGCTGTTTGGCTGTTTGGGCCTTCGAGCTCGCCCCTTGAAACACCCACAAAAGGATTTCGACATCTCCTTAGCTTTTCAAGCGCAGTGTCTTAGTCTGTTGAAAACAACGCAAAGCATTAGCCCACAGAATGCCCCCCACAACTTGACCAGCCCCAGCACTCAATGACATTTCAACGTTTTCTCTCTGCTTCGGAGTCCAAAGCCTCAGCAAAGAATACAAAGGCAGGAGACTTATCATTGGATTTAGTTTAACAATAGGTCCTTTTGCCACGAGTTCCCAGTGACCTTCAGCGACTTTCTCTTTCCCAAACAAAGCCCTGCTCTCCACCCCTTGCGTCGGCCTTGCGTGGCCCTCTATGGCACACGTCACACCAAGGTGCCCCTTGTCGCCGCTGCGAGCCCAGGCTAAGAAGCGGAGGGGAACCGCTACCATGGGACCGGCCTCGAGCGGCGCTCGGGGAGCGGTGCATCTGAAAAAGCTGCGTCGGTGCGTCGGTGAATGCAGGTGATGACGCTTGGCGGCAACACTACTCAAAAAGTCAAGAAATGAAGCAAATACATGAAGGTTCGCATCCAACCAACAAGCCAGAACTAACTATTGTTTTTTGAGGTCTGTCGGATTCGGAGGTCTTGATGGCTGGCAGTGGCTTCTTTTGAGGACTTCTTTCACATTCCAGGCTTTATCCAACTGACTGATGTTGCTCTCAGTTCAACAACATGCAAGTGAATTTAGAAAGCCCGTGCCAGGTTGATATTTGTCCTTCTGTTTGCATACTCCTCATCAGCGTCCACCCAAAGCGATTCGCGGTCTTCAACAGTCAAAGGAAGAGGGGTTGAATTGACAGCCCTGGGAAAAACAGGAATTCATCTATGGCAAAGATATGGCAAGAATCCACTCAAACAGCAAGGAAAGTGGGTTCATTCAGTGAGCAAAACAAAGTAGAACCCGAGGATGCACTTTCTGGTAGTGCAACCCAACTCACTCATTCCCTGCATCAAGGGCGCAGGCATTTGGGCTGGAACAGCTTCCACAGATCGGCTGGCACTGCCTGGAGTTTCTCGTGGCGAGCACGAAGGATGGGACGCCCAAAGCCATGAATTCCTAGTCTAGGGTTCTTTCACTTGTAAATTTGGCAGCGTGTGGTTGTTGAGGAGATGTTCTGAAAGGTCACAGTAAACTGTGCTAAGAATCTTGGCAGATTCTGCGAGCGTACTTGCTCATGAGACTCAATCGACCAGAGACATCAAACAAACCGAGCACCTGGGAAACCGCCCTCTGTCGGCACGGGCACCATAAAGCGCTTCTCGTCTACACAGACCTCACAGTCAACCTCTGTCTTGGGGACTGTCAAGGAGAAGACCCGGAGCACATCCTTGAGATCAGCAAAACAGCATGCTTCGGAATGCCGGCCCCACCCAGCCACACTCGCACAAACACATTCACATACACTCGAGATATTCCGTACCGACATGATGGGCGGTTTGCCACACGCCGGCCTAAGTAAAAACCTAAGGCACCAGGGTAGACAAAGTGGTTGGAGGCCATTGCATCTAGGTTAGAGCATCGCAAGCAGTTTAGGTGGATATCACAATTAGGCTAGTAGTCATCGCTAGTAGGTTGGTAACATACAACTGCAAAACATTCAAGGTTGGAGGGCATCACTAGTGGGTGGAGGCCATCACCACAAGGTTGGAGGCCCACGCTACAGGTTTGGAGGCCCACAAGAAACAAAGCGGCAAACACAAATAAAACAAAGTAAAACCGAAAAACAACAAACCAAAATTCCAGTGAGAAGTCAAAATCGAAGGATTCCCTGTGACTCCAAGGGTTTCTGTTTGGTAGCACGCCTGTTTTGATCCACGCGCTTCGGTAGCGGAGTAGTTTTCAACTAGCAAACAGTGCATCAACTTGACTGTACATGTCTGTACCTAAACCATCAAAAAGGTTAACACCCAGCCTCGATGTCTAACGTTTTGAGTTCAGACATCGTCTCCTTTTTGTACACTGTCTATTTGTGGGATCTGCCACGTCATGGCAGCACTGAAAAGGTCTCCCACTTCTATGAACTTGTGTATCATTGATACACCCCGTTCCGGCATAGACATGCCATTCCTATGAAGAATTTCACCAATCTTTGCTATAGACACGTGGTTCAGTTGGTTTCACGTGCCCATCCATGCTCACCAAAACTGAAAATTTGCTTTGTAAAATGAATTCTGTCGTTGTCCATTGTCGTATTGTACCGTGGTTCAGCTGTTGCACGGTACCCACATCCTTTGAGTGTCTATGGTTCAGATGGTTTCATAGAACACTCCAACAAACATGCATACCACATTCAAATTCAATGATTTGTATTATCGTCTCCACTTGATTCTGGCTCGCTATCAAAATGATGTAGCTGTTGCCAATATTCGGGATCACTCACTTCATCCAAACTGGACTGTAAATACCTGCGTCTCATTTGGGACGCTGTTTCTTCATCATCACTGTTGTTGTCACTCTCTGGTTCACGGTCGTCTTCTTGTGCTGTCTGCGTTGTACCTGCTGGTAAACTTCTACCTGGTAGTGTGCTTGAAGTGAAGTAACCATCTTGCTCATCAACATGCTGTCTCATTCGATCATCCATTGCTGTTCCAGTCGTATAGACATAGGTATCTATACTTTCACCTTCACCACCACCACCTTCAGCTTCCGGCTCATTTTCCTCCTCGATCTCTGGACCTGGGTCACTTTGGCTGTCGGGTGATAGGTCTGTCATCCCCCGACACATCATATGAGCTCGTCCTCGAACTCCCTCACTGTGATTTTGTTCCAAAATGCCCAACTGCATTTGAAGAATTTGTTGTCTGTGGTAGTATCTTCGTTGCCAATCATGATCCATTCTTTGTCCTCTTCGCCTGATGCGATCTTCAACTCTTCCAAGCATCCAATATAGGAACCACTCTGGTGACCATGGTTCCCATCTCGGTGGCGGATCCACCGGAATGGGGGAAAACACTGGAGCTCGGGGTGGAGGCCCAAGAGGCGGCGGATGCTTTGGTGGCACCGGCCCCTCGCTCGAACTTGCCTGTTCATTTGCTCCAATGCTCAACTCATCGCCAATTGTCAAACCACCTGCCGTAGCCTTCTCGGTTTCTTTTCCTGCCCAGCCTTTCTCGAAGCCTCTGGAAATCATTCCAATGTGTGCACAAATAATTGCAAACACCCAGGATCATCAAAATGACCAGTGTATATACCACTTGGTGGTCACCGCTCTGTTCAGCAGATTCTGGTGCATCTTGTTCTCCACAACCTTTCAATGAAATTGCTTGCAACATCATCGCACATTGTACCAACTTGTGTGTTCTGTTCTTGCTCCATCTCGCGACGTTTTGGATTTGTTGTTTCCACATCTCGGATGCCAAAGAATCCAAGTATTCCTGTTCTCCAACTCTCTCTTTCACCTTTCCTTCATCATTCAATCTCACAACTCCAAGAAAATACAAAAGGAATTGTCGACGTGCCTGGCTTAGCTTCTTGGTGTTGAGGTCTGCCAAATTCAACTTTGTCCCTATTGGCAAAACATCCAATGTTCTCTGTTTCAATGCCGACTGCAACCAACATAGTCTCACGTCAACATGTTTGAGTCGTCCTAGCCCTGTTCGTTGCAACCACTGTCGACCTGAACTGCTGTCTGACCTCATTTCAACTTCACACCTTTGTTGTACCATAAATGTCCAAACTGCTTTCACAAGCAATGCTTCACTTGCTCCTGCTGTCATAGCTAGTACCTCAGCTTCACAGGATGACAGTGCTGTGCTCTTCTGCATGCGGCTGAATGATAAACAGAGTAAACCATTCATCAAAATCATCACCGATGTAGTTGACCGCCGCTTCGGACCACCGGCCCAATCTGAGTCACAGTACACCTCCATGCAATGAATCTCTGACTCTGGGTACTCATCGACACTGTTCAGCTTGTACACCATCTTTGTACCAACCTGACTGTATGGCATGTGAAAAGCAAAATCTCTTGTACCTGACAGGTATAGGATCAACTGAATCAACGCTTTCTCTGCTTGTACTGTTGGTGATTTCATCCATGATGCAAGCGTTTTGACACAAAATTGAATGTCAACCCTGTCATGTGCAAGGTACATTGCAATGCCCAGCCCACTACGAAACTTTGCTTGTCTCGGTCCATCCAAATCCTCTGATGCATCAACCTGACACAAAAGGCTATGGTCTGGCACCTGTTTTTCTTTCCTCCCGCGCAAATCGTATAAGGCCAATAGACTTTCAATATACTTGGAATTCGGTCTGACGTAGAGTCCACTTTCTGCGAAAAGGTAACTCTTCTTGAGATAGGTAACTTCTTCTCCATTTCCAAGTTTCTGAACTGGGTATGGTCCTTCGATCTGCAACTTGTAAAATCTTTTCAACTCTCGGATCAACCATAGTGCATCTTCGGTGGTCTCACTTGCAATCAATTCATCATCAACATGAACATTGATGACAATCTTCTTGCGCTCGTGTCGTAGTACCGAAGGCACAGCTTGACACTGCACAAACCCAAGTTGTCTCAACTTCTCACTGAAAGCATTGAACCACCGTTGCGCGCCGTTCCGTTGGCCTGGCAAAACTCTCTTGAGTTCCCACAATGCATTTGAAGGAAGACTCAACAACATCTGAATCCAAGGACGAGTTGCCACATAGCATGTTTCAACCTGTGGGACTGTAAGATATGCGTCACTGATATCAAGACATGTGATCTTCCATCCATAGATCAAATGGCACATCAAGAAAAATCGAATGACGCCATATGGCGATGTGGGACTGAATGTATCCTCATTGGAAGGACCTGTTTTGAAATCCCTGGCAACAATCCTGCACCGCCTTCTCCATTGACCATCTCGTTTCCTCCAATCAAACACTTCACGAAGGTCAACAAACTTGCCATTGGGATCTCGTTCTTCTTCTAACAACACCTTCACTACCCCAAGTTTCGAAAGCTTGTCAACTTCTGTCTTCATGGCTTCTCCATCTAGCTGTTCAAGGTCTTCTGGCAGAAGCTCCGGCGGTTGCTCGCCTTTGTAATCAGTGGGAATCTCGTCGATGTCAAACTCCACCATCTCCCAATCCATATCTTCCTCCCAACATTCATCATCGTGTAGTTGTTGGAACTGAAGCTCCACCTTTCCAGCGAAAAATGGTGCATACAGTTGAGAGGAACTGGGACTGCCTTCACGGTCTAATCGCGCTGACTTTCTTTCTTGAGGTTCTTCATCTGCAGCTTCTCTCTTCTCGCCAGCTGGGGCGTCCTCCATTGTTGCTTCTGGCTGCATTTGTACGGGCAAATCCAACAAATTTCGTCTTTGATCTTCTGACAACCTGCTCAACTCATCTTGTACCAATGGTTGTTGTTGTTGTTGTGACTGTTGTGTAGGTGTTCCAACGGGACTTGCTTCTGTTGGGGCATAATCATCAGCTCCAAAAACTAACTCAGCTTCTTCATCTACATCTCCTGAAGGAAGCAAGACGGGTTGTCTTGGTTCTGGTTCTGTTGGATCACTCTTCTCCTCAATCACAGGCAGGGGTGCTTCCAGCATGCCTGGAACTTTGTCTGCTTTGTTCTTGCTCCATGGTGAATGCAAATTGACAAAATCACATCCTTTCTCCAAGCGTTGGCACATCGTCGCACTGAACGAGTTGTAAATCGACCATTTGCTGTGACCACAACATTCATGTCACTTGTAGACTCTTTGCCAACCCAAATTCCTCCGAGCCATATATTCATACCTGATTTCTTGGAAGGCTTCTTGAGTCCAAACACGAATTCACCAAATGGAATCAACTTGCCACTGTATTTCTTGCCAAACACTGTCTCGTAGGCTGTTGCTCGAATGCCTGAATGCTCATGGAACCTGTTCAGCAAAAACACACTGTGCGTAAGCGCCCAAGCTCGAAGACTATGGTGTTCTGGCAATGTCTCATGAATCTTGTCTTCAACACTCACCATCAATGAACTTGCTTGTCGTTTGACAGTTTGTATATACCGTTCAACTTTTGCTGTTCTTCCCTTGTGGTATGGTTTGCCGTGCTGCTTGCTTGCTTTGAAACCCATCTCTTGTCTCACAGCAACAATCATGTCAAGAAGTCCTAATGTCGCAGGCTCTGAGTCCATCACGAAACAAACCTCGCTCGTGTAATCGCCAAACACCTTTTGACCTCGTAGGACAAACAGCACCGTACCTTGTATCTGAATCGATCATCACCAATGAAGGGCACTGCTGTCCAAGAAACATCCAATCAAGCTGAATGTGTGGGATCCCTGTCTGCTCTCTCTCCAAGTCTGCGTTGTGAACTGTTGGATCATCCCTTGACTTGGTTCGA